AGTTACTTTCCAATACAACTGACGTTTCTTAAAATATGAGTGTATTTTCCGTTTGCTTCTTTGTTTTGAATTTCGTTCAAAGCTACACAAGGGCTATCTGCGCTAGCCGTCCCTTAGTTAGCAGTGATAAACTACAATGAAGGGAGCTAGTCAACACCACCCACCGCCAACTCTTGGGCTACTCTTTTTACCATCGAATAGTGGGATCAACCGTTACATTATAAAGCCCCTACGACTGAAAGAGCAGCATATTCGGTGACGGGAATTCTTGTTTTTGTAGAATTTTCAGGCAAAGCTTCAGAAGGATTATCTTCGCATTCCCATTCGGAGTTTGAACTGATAGACTAGAAAGATGGCAGCTTTGTTTGTAGTTAAGCACAAAGATACCCAATGGAATACCTGTGCTCTGCCCACCACGAGTATCGAAACCCGGTTTCTAGGCGTGTGAGTCCGCAAACATACCGCTGTGCCACTGGTGGGCAGATGGCAGCTAGTCAACAACACTCACCGCCAATTCTTTAGCTAGTCTTGTTTGACCGAATTGTTGGATTTGATCATCACGTGCGGCTCTTATAGCACACCCACGGCAACAAAGTTCGAGCGCATTTTTTCGGAAAAGGAGCGTGAACCCTCTAATTCACAGTTACAGCACGCTAACCACTAGGACAGGCCAGGCCAGATACTTTCAGAAGCTATATTATTAGAGTATAAATATATATACACATCTAAATATACGTATTTCGCTGAAACCTTGTTTTTGGAACAACATGAAGATGTTTCCAAATAGAATAAAAGGTGAAATACAAAACACGTTAAATACCATGAGCTTGTTGTAGACGAATTAATTGCAATGATTGTTTTTTTTTGTTTTTAATTATGCACAAAGCTATAGAAGGGCTATCTGTGCTCTGCCCACCGCGGGTATCGAAACCAGGTTTCTAGCGTTGTAAGTCCGCAGACATACCGCTGTGCCACTGGGGGGCTAATTGCAATGAGTAGTATACAGTTTCTCTTCATTAATATTTCGCCTGTCAATATAATAATTAAAACCACAAGAACAAAGTAGCAACAGTAACTATACACGAATATGTCCAAATACTTTATTTATTGCCCGGCATGGCCAGGTGGTTAAGGCGCTCGACTCGCAATCTGAGGGTCGCGGGTTCGAAT